CATATATTGTTTAATAATATCCTCCCTAACTTGCGTTAGCAAGTTATATAACTTAGTTTTACATTCCCCTTTTAAACGCACAGCGGTTAGCTTGTTGCAAGCTTGTTTAAGCTTATCAATATTAGATTCCTGGTCATTTCCCCTTTTATCCCTCCGAAAAGAATAGACACAACACAATCTTGTGTAAAGTATACAGTGGTACCTCGGGTTAAGTACTTAATTCATTCCGGAGGTCCGTTCTTAACCTGAAACTGTTCTTAACCTGAAGCACCTCTTTAGCTAATGGGGCCTCCTGCTGCTGCTGCGCCGCCGGAGCACGATTTCTGTTCTCATCCTGGAGCAAAGTTCTTAACCTGAAGCACTATTTCTGGGTTAGCGGAGTCTGTAACCTGAAGCGTATGTAACCTGAAGCATATGTAACCTGAGGTACCACTGTATATAAAAGAAATTTACTCACACATTCAGTTCACAGATGGATCTCTGAAGGCACTTCGTTATGGAGTATATACATGTGGAATCTATCCCATATGGGAATAGTCCCTTTGTCCTCTGTTGGCTGAAAGCCAACACAGCACCTCTAGCTAAAAAGCTGTTGCTCCTACAATGGACAAAATGAAATAGACGGTGTGTACAGCGTGCCTGTCCTTTTGTGTTACCTGGGCAGGTAAAGTCACACCCACCTCTAGTCACATGCAAAAGGAAGTATGTCCCAGTCAGGAGGAAAGTTTTCTACTGACTGGACCAAACATTCCCTGCAAGTTCACTCTAGGAAAACAAGGAATGCTGTACTTGACTGCTATCTATGTATCACATCCCACATGAAGTAGAATAAAACAGCAGGCTAAAAACAAGACTGCTGTTTTACAAAAAGATGTAACTCAGTGGCAGAGCATCTGGCATCACCAGAAAGGACTGGGAGGGACCTTGTCTGAAACCCTGGACAGCAACTGTCAGTCAATGGACAACACTGAGCTAGGTGGACCAGTGGTCTCTCTCCATATGTTCCCATGCCTGGGTCTGGGCCAAAAGGAAGACAGGCTTATTGGGAACGTCATTCCATTCCTTTTTGCCGTAGCCAAAAAAGACGGTATCGAGAAGTAGCAACAGGTACTACTTCATGCAACATATAGTCGAACTATGAAACTCACTCCCCCACAAGGCAGGGATGGCCAACAATTTGGATGGCTTTAAAAGAGGACTAGACGATTTAATGGAGAGGGGTATCAATGGCTGCTAGCCCTGGTGTCTCTGCTCTGCCTGCACAGATGGAGACAGAAATGCTTCCGAATACAGTGGTACCTCAGGAATTACTTTTATAATGAAATGATTTTAGAATGTTGTACTGTTTTATTGTTGTTAACCGCCATGAGCCTGGCTTCGGCTGGGGAGGGCGGGATATAAATAAAAATTATTATTATTATTATTATTATTATTATTATTATTATTACCTCTGGTTAAGTACTTAATTCGTTCCAGAGGTCCGTACTTAACCTGAAACTGTTCTTAACCTGAAGCACCACTTTAGCTAATGGGGCCTCCCACTGCTGCCGCGCCGCCGGAGCACGATTTCTGTTCTCATCCTGAAGCAAAGTTCTTAACCTGAGGTACTATTTCTGGGTTAGCGGAGTCTGTAACCTGAAGCGTATGTAACTTGAGGTACCACTGTACCAGTTGCTGGAAACCATGGGAGGGGAATGAGCCCACAGGTTCTTGCAGGAAATGATGGAGCTCCTGGTACCCATTTCAAACATGAACAGATGCTTCCAATTTTCCTCCTAATTCCACACCTGAAATCACATTTTCTGGTCTTCATGGTAGTCTGGTATTTTAGATTTCCCCACAACTTGGAACAATATAATAACAGTAACAACAACAATAATTTTATTATTTATACCCCGCCCATCTGGCTGGGTTTCCCCAGCCACTCTGGGTGGCTTCCAGAAGAATACAAAAACATAATAAAACGTCAAATGTTTAAAAACTTCCCAATGCACCTGTGTCCCTGGCAAGAGATAAGAAAACAGCCACATGTGCTGAACCTTGAGTCAGTCCCTTTTATAGGAGCATAGCATTTTGAATACAGGCTTGCTCTTTTGAGACAAAGAAGGACAAAAAGTGCTGGGGCATAGTAGAATTGTTCCTTTTTGTTACCATCTCTATACAGTAGCCTAAAGTACAGTATGTGCTTCTAAACATTACACCATAAACAGAGTGCATTCCCAGAGCAGCTTCCCATGCTTGGTCCAGCAATGAATGTTGGATAATAATTTTTTTTTTAAAAAAAAAACCCTATATGCCAGAATACAGTTGCTGGAGTGGAAAGGAGGCAAAGCAGAATGCTTTATCTGTTGAGTTTCTGCCTGTCTCTCAGCTTGTTAATGGCACTGTAAACGCTGTGGGTTAAACCACAGAGCCTAGGACTTGCTGATCAGACGGTCGGCAGTTCGAATCCCCGCGACGGGGTGAACTCCTGTTGCTCGGTCCCTGCTCCTGCCAACCTAGCAGTTTGAAAGCACGAAGTGCAAGTAGATAAATAGGTACCGCTCTGGCGGGAAGGTAAACGGCGTTTCTGTGCGCTGCTCTGGTTCACCAGAAGCAGCTTAGTCATGCTGGCCACATGACCCGGAAGCTGTACGCCAGCTCCCTCGGCCAATAAAGCGAGATGAGCGCCGCAACCCCAGAGTCGGCCACGACTGGACCTAATGGTCAGGGGTCCCTTTACCTTTACCTTTTTAAACCTGCCAGAAAATGAAACCTAAGTTCAAACTCCTGCCAAGTTATGGATCTCCAGTATAGATACCTTGGATCACCATGTGCAAATCTCTCTCCTACCTTGCATGACTTGGGGGGGGGGGATACTTACAGTTGGTATTCTAATTTATCTTGAGCTCTTATGAGGGAAAATAAAAGGTAGGGAAATTATGAGAGAGAAATGCCGCACTGGTCTATAATAGCAAGGCAAAAAGTGGCACCGTGGTACAATTGCTTCTAGAAGCTTCAGTCTACACGAGGGATGAGTGACCCGTAGTGTCTCAAATACTGATGGGCTACATCTCCCATCATCCTCAGCATTGGCCAGTGAGATTTTGAATGCCAACCCCATCCCTGGTCTACACAACTGAGACTATCACAACTACTACAATCCAAGCAACTGTCTGTAACAGTGTCCTTGTCAGGACATTTCCTGAATTTTTCTCTTGCATGACTGATTCATTTATCTTATGCAGCGCTTCCACAAAGGACTGCAGGACAGTGTATTTGAGCGTTTCCCCAATTTAGCCTCATAGCCTTGTTGATGTGTAGATCCTTCACACCACTTGCTATCCGGTCCTTTTAACTTGAGGTGACAGGGTCCGAACATGGGACCTTTTGCATCCAAAGTATGTGCTTTACTATTATCCCTCCCCAACATTACCCATTAAGCTTTATGGCCAAGTGCAAACTTAAAAACACAGGTCTCCTCTGTAGAAAAACCAACATTCTGTCCACAGCAAATGGTTTTTGCAAGTGCCCGGCCAAATGAGACATCTATGTGAGCTTTACAGCACCATTAGTGTTTGCAATACCAACTTACAGTCCATGGATAGTAAGCACATAATAAAGTCCCTTATCATTTCTTGAATTTATATCCTGATCTATTCTGTGGACTCAGTGCAGCTTATAGCTGTTCCTCTCTCTCTCTCTCTCTCTCTCTCTCTCTATATATATATAATGTTTATTAAATTTTCAATTATACATCTCAAAATAAACATTTTACATACTGTTAAATATCCAACAACCTCCCTCCTTCTCCTTCCACGGTTCATTCTGTTTGTCTTTTGTTCCTGCAATCTTTTACTATAACCATTTTATTCAGTTCTCCACTTTTACATCACTCAAGATTAACGACACTGTTGATTTTATCTTAATAAAACTTGACTTCCTTCCCTCTCTTTCTGCGGTTCCTTAAATTTATTTTTTAATCTCTTCCGCATATCCAAATTAACTTAATTTGCTCATTTATTAATCTACTTTAAATATATACCCTTATAAAAATGTAGGTTATTACAATAATCCTGCCAATGTTCTTTTATGTTTACAATTCATCTGTCAATATTCCATAAACCATTTCCATTATTTTATTGAAATGTGGTGTATAAACGCACTGTTAACGAAGCAGCAACTAACAAAATAAAATAATAATAATAATAATCTAAACAAAGGGCCGGATTTAGGTTTGATGAGGCCTAAGCTACTGAAGGTAATGGGGCCCTTTATATGTCCAGCTGTCCTTTGTCAACAACAAATCGTCGCTGTTTTTGTGTTGAATATATGCTATATGGTAATTTATGAACCTAATAAGTATCTAAAGCCATTTGCACATGTTGCCATGCAACCAGTCCATGCAGAATGTAGGCACCCTATATATAAAGGTAAAGGGACCCCTGACCATTAGGTCCAGTCGTGACCGACTCTGGGGTTGCGGCGCTCATCTCACTTTATTGACTGAGGGAGCCGGCATGCAGCTTCCGGGTCATGTGGCCAGCATGACTAAGCTGCTTCTGGCGAACCAGAGCAGCGCACGGAAACGCCGTTTACCTTCCCGCCGGAGCAGTACCTATTTATCTACTTGCACTTTGACGTGTTTTCGAACAGTGCCACTCTATATATAGAAATGAGCAAACCAGTGATATTTTAGGGAGCAGGTGGAGCCCATTGCTTACATCCTAGGAGCCTACACAACACAAAACACTGTTGCTGTATGTAGGTTTTACTTTATTTGTTTTCTATCTTATATTTTGGAAATTGGTACATCCAGTTTTGTTTTTTCTTTTAAAAAGTTTGGGGCCCCCAAGAGAGTGGGGCCCTAAACTATAGCTTGTTTAGCTTAAAGTAATTCCGGCGCGCTTAGCAGCAAAAAAAGACTAACGAATTAATGCGGCGTTTGGAATCTGCAAAACATTGACAGGAGGAGCAATTAAAAAAGATAATGAGCTAAGCCCTAAGGGCGCCTTTACGCGCGCCTTTTCCCTCCCGGGCACGAGAGGCGAGAAGCGAAAGCGAGGCGGGGCAGGCTCGTCTCCTCCAGGCAGGCGGGCGGAGCAAGCCTTGGCCAACCCCCGGAAGTCTCCGGCGAAGCGGAGGCGGAGCTGCCTTGTCGCCGGCGCCTTTCTCCTCCTCCTCCTCGGTGCGCGGCCAAGAGGCACGGGGGTGGCGGGCAGGTGAGGGCGTCGCGTGCGCTTCCCGAGCCGGAGGAGGAGCTGCCGGTGCCGGCTGCTCCTTGCTTCTCCGCTGCGCCCTCCCACGCTGCTTCCTGCCTGGGCCACCCGCGGGCCATGCGGCCGAGCTGCGGAGCCCTCCTCTTCCTCCTCGGCGGCGGCGCCTGCAGGCTGCGAGGCGTGAGAAGAGGCGCCTCCTCCTCCTCCTCCTTCATGTGCTAGCGACGTCGCGAAGCCCAGGAGCCGGATCTTCATTTCTTCTTCTTTCTTTCTTTCTCCCTCCCTTTTTTAAAGTCAGCCCAACTCTGGCCGAAAAGATGCTGCTGTCGCTGGTGCTGCACACCTACTCCATGCGCTACGTGCTGCCCACCGCCCTGATGATGGGCACCGCGCCCACCTACGTGCTGGCCTGGGGCGCCTGGCGCCTGCTCTCCACGCTGCTCCCCGCGCGCGTCTACCACGAGGTGGATGACCGGCTGTACACCCTCTACCAGAGCATGGTGCTCTTCTTCTTCGAGAACTACACCGGCGTGCAGGTGAGGGCGGCTGCTGCCGGGGGCGGGGGGGCTGGCGGAGGCGCCACGCCTCCTTAGGGGGGGCTGGGGGAGATAGGAACCCACCCCCTTGTCACCTTTCTCTCCACCACCTCGCGTCTCTGGATGCCAAGGCGGAGAGGGACTCGGGCAACTTGGCTACAGGTGGGCGAGGCTGCGCGCAGGTGAGCGAGCGGAGGCAGGGGCTGCGCCTTCCTCGCTGCGCTCTCTCTCTCCCTCCCTTCCCAGCAGAGAGGGGGTTGCCCCCTCGGTTTGCTCATCTTCCCAGGCTCTGGGTGGCCTTGCAGGTGGGAGCGAGCCTTCCCAGGCAGCGCTGGGGCTCTGCCTACTTCCTCGATGCTGGTAACACCTAGGTTGAGTACAGCACAGTTAAGGTTGCGCACAGCAAGCCGAATTTGCACTGGGGAGACAGCAGAGTTTCCTTCGGGAGGGTGGGGGGAAAGGGACCCTGATTGGGGTCACATTCGACCTGTGGAATGCCTTCCCACCAGATGTCAAGGAAATAAACAACTGTCTGACTTTCAGAGGGCATCTGAAGGCGTACAGGGAAGCTTTTAATGTTTGATGTGTTTTTGTTGGGAGCTGCCTGGAGTGGCTGGGCAAACCCAGTCCATAGCTGTCAACCTTCCCCGTTTTTGTGGGAAATTCCCTTATTCCAGTGCTGTTTCCCGCTGCTATCCCAGATTGTTAGATATCCCATAGACTGTCCCCGGCACAGGTGAGGCTGCTAATCCCTTATTTTCGAGGCTGCTGATCCTTTATTTTCAAATCTGAAAGTTGACAGCTATGACCCAGTCAGATGGGCAACATATAAATAACAAAGGTGGCACAGTTGGTCTAGTCTTCCTTGTAACTGTGGCTCCCAGAAAGAGGTGACCTACCAGAGGCAGTGGCTTACCTGCCATGCCCCTTTGAGTGGCACGTTCAGTCTGATGTACCCAGCCTGCTGCTGTCCCATTGTGACGGTGCACTTCTGCCATTCCTTTCTGGCTAGTACATCACTCGGAGGGTGAGTGATCGAGGAAGAGAGGTAGCTGTCAGGAACAGCCCTGCCTCGACTTGCTCTCCACTCTCTGTGGGTGGTAGAGCAGGGAGGAATCTCAGCCTGTTGAACCCAGTTCCAGGTTGCACAACCTAGAGAGGCTGGCAAGCGAGCAGGTGGGAAATGAGCAGAGGTAGCAAGGAGCAACAGTCAGCTCTTCCTTTCCACCTCCATGCCTGGGCTGGGCTCTATTCTCAGCACAGAGAGAGGGCAGTTGAATAAGGATTGCTGGTGCTCTTTTGCAAAGGCCACTGTTTACCCACGTTGGTAGGTGAGCAGGTGAACAAACAGTATCTGTATTGACAACCTTTGCCTTTTTCCAGCAAGACCTCCACCTCTCTAGGGTTAAAGGGGAGGAGCAGACTCTTCCACCCCAGCAGAGTCCGAGCCTTCCAAGATTACTCCTGCCAACTTTGGCGGTTGTTTATCATCTGCAGGAGACTATCTTGACTTGTCTGGGACCTTGTAAGTTGCCTTACCATCCACCGTACTGTCTAACTGGCACTCGGGAAACAAGTGCAGGCCTCCTCCCAACTAGAGAGTGAAAGGGGAATAACGCAATGAGGATTCTGTACACCTTAAAGACTTAAAGGGTTTATTGTGTCATAAGGCTTTGTGAACTTGGCCAGTGAAAGCTGGCCATTGTAAACCTGCCAGCCTTTAAGGTACCATGCCTGGTGTTAAGTCTTAACAGAATAATATGGTTGCCCTTCTGGAATTTGACATAGAGGAATATAAAAGGAAAAGGTATGATATTGCATGTTGCTCATCAAGGTACCACGCCTTTTTAAAAGGTGGTGTTTTGTGCATCTCTGGTTGGCCGCACTCAACTGCAGCTACACTGGTTCAGACAACATGCTTGAAACGGTGGTTCGTGCATATACGTTGAATGGCAGATCTTCAATAGTGGCTGTGACGTGAATACGGCACTAGAAAGGGCTATCCTTCTGGACTGAAAGGTATCCCCTGAGTGGGGAACCTGTAGCTTCTCAGATGTTGCTGAACTACGTGCTTCCATCATCCTTGACCACTGACCATGCTGATCGGAGAGGACTGGAGTTCCACAGTGTCTGGAGGACTGCAGGGTCCCTGTAATCCTTTGAATGGCTTGGTATTTGAGCAAATTATGCAAGTATGGTCCTTCCTAGCTGTCTTTGCCACCCATCTAAGGAAAGGCATAGACGTATGAGCTCTCTGTGAACAGTAAAAGGTAAAGGTGAAGGTACCCCTGACCGTTAGGTCCAGTTGCGGATGGCTCTGGGGTTGTGGCGCTCATCTCGCTCTGTAGGCCAAGGGAGCCGGCGTTTGTCCACAGACAACTTCCGGGTCATGTGGCCAGCATGACTAAGCCGCTTCTGGCAAACCAGAGCAGTGCACAGAAATGCCATTTACCTTGCTTTCGAACTGCTAGGTGGGCAGCAGCTGGGACCAAACAACAGGAGCTCACCCCATCACGGGGATTCGAGCCGCCAGCCTTCTGATCGGCAAGTCCTAGGCTCTGTGCTGTAGACCACAGCGCCACCCACATCCCTGTGAACAGTAGACTTAAATAGATCCATAAATCGGCAGTCCCACTTCTCTAATTAGGCATTGTGGTTTGACTTGTCCCTTGTTGTAGCACTCCATGTTGTTACCTGTTGCTTTCTAATGTGAAACAAGGATAGGTTTAACTTGCTGTGAACTTCCAGTTAACATTCCATCCAAGCCCATATATTCAACATCAGAAGGAGGAGTTACTTCTACATGGCTTTGGTGCACCCAACTGAAACTTTTCTGTCTCTTCCTCCAATTTCATTTAGTATTTAAACTGTTGAAACTCTTAAAGATGCTAATAAGAGTTCAATTTGCAGAATTTTTCAACAACTTGTGTTGCATGTTTTCTTCCCCGAGTTGTGCTACCTAAGCCTGATATCTAGAGGATGACTTCTAGTTTCATTCTAAACCATCAGTTCATCATGTGGTAAAGCTGTTCCTAGGCCGTACCACTTTGGATTGTAAGTGGGGAATTGCACGATTCAATGGTCTGTTCCCCACTTGAAAGCAAAACATACTAACAATGACAAAGAGATTAATTTCAGTCAAGCTTATCTGTTTCACATGATGGTTTGGGGCCAGGATTGGGAGTTGTTGTTTTCTCACTGGTGGTACATTTGATCATACAATTCCATACCTGCAACCTGTCAGTACATTCATTCCAAAGACAGTTTTATTAAATAATATAAGCTATATTACTCTTAAAAGTCCATTGGCTTTACATTATGCCTGTCGCTACACCAAGTGCCTGCTTGATGTCTTAAAATGTCTTCACCAAACTACGCGTGCTAACAGAAGCAGCAAATCCTTTCCACTGATGAGAACTACCAGTTGCTATGTATTACAGTGTAGTTTCCCGATCATAAACTAGAATGGCTCCCTAAACTAAAAGCTGCTTTTAAAAATGAGAGATTTGACAGCGTATCTTTACGGCAAGTGCATGTATTTTCGTTGGAGATCTGGAAGTGATAACTTTTTTTGGCTGCCGAAACATCTGAGGGCCGAACCTCAAGGATCGCCTCTCCCCATATAAACCGACAAGGACCTTGCAATCATCACCTGAGGCCCTTTATTTGTGTGTCTCCATGAGAGGCCCAAAGCGTAACAACATGAGAATAGGCCTTTTTTGCAGTGTCTCCCTGCTTGTGGAAGCTCGCCTGGCTTATATATCTTTATATATCTTTAGACGCCAGGGAAAAACATTCCTCTTCCCTCAGGCCTTTGGCTAATTAAACATCTAATTAAATCTAAGGCCTCTTAAATTGGGCTGGGACCCAGGGATATTGTTTCTGGGTTTTTTAATTATTATTTTATATATTTTTGTGTTTTTGTAAATCTCCCTGTGATCTTCGGATGAAGGGCAGTATATAAATTTAATGAATACATAAAAATAAAATAATAATACGTTTAAACAAACAAGCAAACAAAAATCTTTTTAGATGAATGCTAAATGGGTTGGTAGTATCCTGATCTTTGGACATGCCAGTTTGGAAGCGAGTTCCAAGGAAGCTTGTAGTCGGCCAATTGTATTTAGGCAAATCTTTTCAAGATCAACTGTTCATTTCAGCACTGTTGCCAGCAAGCAGATGTTTCAAACTAAGGGTACCAAACTGATGTTAGATGGTCCTTTCATTGAGTATGCTTGACTAAACTAGTCATCCAGAGGTCAAAGACTTCTGCATCCTGTTAAACTTTTCAGTTTTGTGCTTAAAGTACTTTCATTGCTTTCTCTTCATTCATGAGGTAATGTTTTCCTGTTTCCTCCCCTGCCATTTCTATCTTTATGATGATAGTAAAATAAAAACCCAACCCTCTCTCACTTGTGTACCTTACCTCAATCAGGTTGTGTTAAGAAAAATATATTTTACATATTTGGATCCTGTTTGCTTTATAAATATGCATACATGTTTGCTACTAATTCCACAGGAAGATCGGGAGAGTGTGCTAAAGGGGTTTTCATCTTTTAAAAGGGATTTCAAAGATGGAAGCTGGGTCTCTGTTTAAAGCATAATACATTCCCTCACGTGAAATAATTCCATTATTTTCACATGTTGGTTCTTGAACTGATCAAGTACTGATTGTTACATAGAAACACTTAAGACAATGTCTGCTGCTATCTTTTTACTGTTGCTTCAATGGGTATTGCGTATGACTTTTGCTGTAATTGTATTTTTATTTTTTTTTTGTAAACTGCTTTGAAATTCATTGGAATAAATAGCAGCCTAGAAATACTATGAATCAAATCAGTATTAAGACTTTACCTGAACCGCACTAACATGAACATGTCATGATTTTGCAAGATAAACTTTTTCTCTCTCCTCTCATTGTAAAAGAATGATTGCATGTAAGAGTACACTTTTATAAGCCAATTTAGTTGTACATCCCTTCAGTTTCATAGACTCAGGTGAACGCTTAAGTTATACATGGTCATTGTGACGTCAGTAAAGTGCCACATAAAGTCATGGGTAGATTAAGTTGGGGCATCAAGGTGAAAGAAAGGGAAAAGGTAGTCCTGTCATAATGTGGGAATTGTTAAATCTTCTCTCTCAAGAGTTTAAATAAAAGAAAGCTTGATCCTAGGTTTTGTTGGTGTTCTTCAGGCTGTTAAATCAAGTACCTTTTTTCTTTCCTAGATAATTCTGTATGGCGATCTGCCAAAAAATAAGGAGAATGTGGTATATATATCAAATCATCAGTGTACAGGTTTGTATGCAATTTCCTTACCTGTAAGAGTTTTTTAATTAAATAATTTTTAAAAGCAAAAACAAAAAGTGTTAATATAACCACTGAGAATGAAATTCTCTAGATATAGATAGATACTTGGGATTGCATGTTAAGATTAAATAAACAAAAATACACGGTATGATCCTGATAGATGAGCAGGATAATGGGTCTTTTAAGCTGTTTCTTTGCAAAACAGCCCCCACATGCTTCCTAACAAGGTGCCTCGAATTTGGAAGTGCTTTTGAACCAACACAAACAGTTGTATCCAATGGCGGCTCTTGCACAAAGCAAGACACCCATTGGTTTTTTCCAGTCCTGCTCATGGCCGCCCACTGAAATGCCACCCCTAAGCTTGGGAGGAACCAATGGAAGAAGGTATTGTAACGCTCAAGAGGGATGCAGTAGGATTGGTGAAAAATGGGGGGGGGGGTTCTGCCTTTCATGAGCAAAAGTGATTTCCACTGGAAATCTGCGTACAGTGTTCAGTTTTAATTGTGTGCTGCTCATTTTTTGCCAAGTGTCTAATATCTGTTTTGAACTTGGCTGATTGGCAAATTATATTACGCCACTTTTCCATGTATAAGACAATTTTTAAAATTATAAATTAATGTTTGAGTGATTCTCAGCAATCCCCCCCCCCAAAAAAGCTCAGCAACTCTCAACTCTTTTTTAAATTTGGAGTCCCCAAAAATAGGGGTCGTCTTATACATGGGGGCGCATTATACACAGAAAAATGTGCTAAATACTGGAACCCTGGGGGGTGATTTCAAGAAGTCCCATTAATTCTAGTTCTTCTGATTCTGGTTTTAAGGGCACACTACTTAACACGAAGGTGTGTTTCTGGTTCGTTGTCTGTTGAGTCAGTGTTTCTCACCAGATCCTTCAAGATACGAATCTATTCTTGTTGGCAGGAGATTAAAAGTTATGTAGTGGTATTATGCAAACAGTACAAGCTTTGTTTAAAAAATGAAGAAATGTGTGCTAAAATACTAAAGAGTAATAGGGGAATATGATTGTGGAAAGAACTTACCTTGCATTGCCACTGACTGCAGTTCATCTTTCATGTTCATAAGCACTAGACGAGCATTAAATAATGTTGGGAAGGATTTTGACATTAACCTAGGGACATAAATGTTTGAGTTTTGTTTGTTTGTTTTGCAGTTGACTGGATTATAGCAGATATGTTGGCCGTCAGGCAAAATGCTCTGGGACATGTTCGATATGTTTTGAAAGACGGGTTAAAGTGGCTTCCTTTATACGGGTGGTATTTTTCTCAGGTAAATCCTAATCCTTTCTCCACGTCACATGAAATAACTAGTACTTTCTGCTAAATTTTGACATGCCTCAATCCTGAGCATATTTACTTGAAAGTAAATCCCATTTATTTCAGTAAAACTTAGTCCCAAGTACTGTAAGGCATGCTTGAAGTCAGGTCCATGCAATGATTCCGTCTTGATAATGTGTTTTTGTTTCATATTTGAAACAGAATAGTGAAACTTCAACTCTTTCTAGTTAGCAGATTTTATCTGGTAGGGTTAGGAGGGTATTTTTGGCTCTCCAGTCAGGTGTTTAGCAAACTAAAAGTACTCACTGAACTTGGGACAATGCCCGCTAAGATGCAAAAACCACGTGTCCATGTCCTACACGATTAACAGTGCAATTCTGGCATTTATTTATTTATTAGAAGTAAGTGACATGGAGTTCTCAGGTAAGTGGGTCCAGGATGAACCCTAAGACAATTTCGAGCGTACTGAATTGAGTCCCACTGAATTCAGTGGTGTTGACTTCTTAGTAACCATATATAGGATTGCATTTGAAACATTTATCCTTTAGTTAAATTAGTTACGTATTTCAGTCTGGCTCTAATCACATTTTAGTCCTGGGTTTGACTCAGTGCATGGACTGTGTTTATTTATGGGATAATATCCTTGCTGTTGCACATATTCATAACATGTTAGCAAAATTGGGTTGTGTTTCCAAAGAAAGCAAGAATAATTTGATAGATGTCTGCATATGCTAAAATTCGCTGAATTGTGGCTTTTATGTCTTTGTCACCGTGAAGTTTCTGATTAAAAAAAAAAACAAGTAGCCCTTTTATGTCAATGACTTGATTTAGATATGTTCTTATATTTTCTTATTCTCTTTCCTTTTTGCTTTTTTGCTCCTCTAGTTGAGCTTCATATGGATTTTATCCTAGTAGGCTATCAGGGTGATCTAGTGAGCTGTGTTCCATTAGACACAATAGTTGAAATTCAGAAGATCTTTGGGAGACAAGGGGTAGTGTTTCTCACTAGGTGAGTGTGGTTCCATATCTAAACTCGTGACATATATTTTTAGCAGAGAGAGATAAGAGCTATAATGACAGTTTTCCACTTCTCTGCATATGGTCCCATAATTCACATCTTGTGTCACGAAAGTCACAAGATGTTGGTTCGCAGATGCAAAAACACAAGCTGCATAGCACATACCTCCATTTTTCGAACGCCACTCTATACAATCACTTTAAATGAATGAACCCCTTATATATTTTGGAGTTGCTTTCTGCTGCCAGGCGGGGATGAGGGGTAGAATTTTCATACATTAGTTTCTTGTAGGTTCCCCTTTGTCATTCGTTCAGACTAGGGCTGCCATACATCTGGACATTACCGGGATTTCAGATGCGGATTTGATGTCTGGGAGGCGGGATTTCCGAAAGGCGGCACTTTGTCCTGGATCTTAGGCAAGTCAATCGGAAAAAACCCTTTGAAATATGGCAACTCTAGTTCAGACCAGGTAGTGACTGATCTTCCATGGGTGTGCTGCCATAGAAAATATTAATTATCAGGGTGAGTTGTGTTTTGCCAAATCCAATGTATGAAATGGCCACCATAAGAATCACTTCAAATGTTACTGCTTCTGTGTGAAGGCCACTCAAAAAGTTGGGAGTAGATCCCTGGAGAGATCCAGCCTGATCTATGTGGTCAGTAAACTGGGATTATTCATATGGTCACCCTGGTGGTAAGTAACCGTACACATGTTACAGTTCCCCCATGGAATCCTTTTTTTGGTTGCCTTGTCTTAAGAACCACAACGTTTGACTCAGACCTACAAGTTTGGTGCATGGAAAATAGGTTCTCCCTGGAGGAAGCTTTCAATTGCTCTTCATGGCTGTTGCTTCTGTGGTAAAATCTCACCCTGCGTGTTCATAAACTATGTGACTGCTCATTGAGTGTGTCACCGTGTGGATTGAAAAGCTTGAGAAATAAGATTGGCTACTTTTCTCCATAGCAATAAGTTTAAAAACAAAACAAAAAACTTATTACGGGCATAAGAAAATTGACTCCTCTGTATGACAAGCGCTTCAGAGAATGATTTTCTAAGTCATTCCCACATGGTTGTTAGTTGGTATGCGCCAGCATTTGATCTAGCAGGTGCACTGAGAGAAAAATGGACCTTTGGTACCTCATGGTAAACAATATGGCATGAACTGCAGTCATTTACTTGCTGGTGTACAAATCAGGCCTTGAGTTGAACCAGTGAAGTTGTTTTCCTTTGGCATAAATAATAATAAATAATAAATAAATTTTTATTTATGTCCCGCCCTCCCCAGCCGAAGCCAGGCTCAGGGCGGCTAACAACAATAAAACATTTTAAAATCATTTCATTAAAAAATTACTTCAAATCAAATTGATGGCAACCATTGGTAGAGTTCTGTGAAGATTGCCAAAGGAGGGAGTCAGGCTGTGCCCTGGCCAAAGGCTTGGCGGAACAGCTCTGTCTTGCAGGCCCTGCGGAAAGATGTCAAGTCCAGGGAACAAGGAAGGACAGCATTGTTTTTACATTGCTTCTTTTCCCTTGTTTCTCAATACAGGTGCTGCAACCATGTCCAATTTATCTGTTTCACTCCAGAGATATTGAGTGATTTGCAGATTTTTTAAAATCTTGCAATAAAATCCAAAAATTAAATAGTCCCACAAATCCTCGAACTGCTTTAATAGTTCATAGGTTTTCCCCAAAGAATTCTGAGAACTGTAGTTTTAGGTCCTCACAGACCTAAAATTCCCAGCATCCTTAACAAACTACAGCTCCGAGGATATGGTTCCCCACCTTTTCTTGTCCATGCCCCTCACCTAAGCATCTCTGAAATCCTGATCCCCCCCCCCGTGACATATAATTCTTATTATTCAAAAAGTGAACTCCTGTTTACATGGAGGAAACTAAAAGGCCATTAACTTGCTCTAACTCATTCTCAAATTGCCCCCCTTGAAAATCAAACTGCCCCCTGTGGGGCCTGTGCCCCACGTTGGGAACCACGGCTTTAGAGGAATTCATGTGCTTTAAATGTATGGTGTGGTTGTGACCTCAGGAAGTGGTTTTCAGGACACCCCGTGGCTATGTATTTTTCATCCTCGGGCTGAGACCAAATTGTCCTCCTCCTCCTTGCTCTGTAGCCGTGTGATAGCAGATTATTTCATCAGAATAATGCTCTTGTTGTTTTCTGGAAGGGAAGAGGCAGCAAATTAGCAACGCAAGAAGAGCCCTCCTGGATCAGGCCGAAGGCCTGTTTAGTCCAGAATTCAGTTTCCCACAGGAAACAACCAGCAGCTGTTGGTTTTCTTGCCAGTGGCTATCACCAGACTGAAAATGCCCATTCCTGGAGCTCCCTCTCCTCTTGGAAGCAACCCCCTTCCTCCTGACAAGTGACTAAGGCCAGGTGGTTCTTCTCCTGTCTTCTGCAATCACAGTAAATGATTCTACTTGCTGTCATTATAGGATAGGTATTTTGTTTACTCCCCATAGTTGTTCAAGATCATTCATCCGCCATTTTCCCAGTTAACTTCCAAAAAATACTAGTCTGCAGTCTTATTCCCATGGATGATGAGGTGATAAAAAGCTGGGTTTTCCTTTAGATTAGCTGTTCTCAACCTGTGGGTCCCCAGATTTTGTTGGACTACAACTCCCATCATCCCTGAGCTCTGGCCTTGCTAGCTAGGGGTGATGGGAGTTGTAGTTCAACATCATCTGGGGACCCACAGGCTGAGAAAGGCTGCTTTAGATCATGGGTTGTGGATGCTTTTCATGCTGCAAATAGGAGAATTCAGTGGACACCTTGGCCAACATTCAGTGTTGCAAATCACAGTCTGCAAATTATGGCACTTAAAGGTATTTAAGGGGAAATTCTATTGATAAGGATATGCAAAGTATGTGGAGTCAGTTGGCAGGTATTCTTTTTTAAAAAAAAAAATTCTCCCTGACATGCCAAATGGTACAAAAACAAAACAAAAAACCACTTCCTCCTCTTCCTGTTGATACTGTGTTGGTGATGTCACTCGCACTCCACTAAAACTTTCCAGTGACAATTAATTACAGAATTGTGATGGAATGCATATTTCCTACCTCAGATAAACATCCTGTTGTGGAATATATGTGTGTAGGATCTGAGTATGTAGAAAGCAGAACACAACTTTTAAGGAAAACATGCTAGTAAACACGTCTGTATGCTTCCTCCCCAAGCACAAAACACACTCTTAAAGCATTAGAGAATAAATATGAAAAAGCTAATATGGTATTTATCAGCTTCTTGGAAATGTATTCCAACACTCTATTGATTCTCAGATTAATGTTGATTCCCAGAAAAGTCCTACATACACAACACAGTGCCGTGAAGTGAACATGTATGTAGATAAAAAGTAATAGCTTAGAATGTGGCAGAAAAATATCACCTGATCCACCTGACTCTATAGAAAACTGATCTCTCAGTTGTAAACATTTTTACTTGGAAGGAAGGCCTGGGGATTTCAGTGGAATTTAGAACTTGAAAACATGTAGTAACTTCATCAGAGGTGATGGTTTTAACATTTGTTCTTTGTGAGATACGTTATAGCTCCCTGTAATTATTTTGTTTCAACCCTCTACTTCTTGTTATTACATGCTTTACCCCTATAGCTGGTCAAGCCCATTTATAATAAGTTTCCTATATTAAAAGTTAGGGTTGTGTTTGGCAAAGTCATAGAGTAAATCCATGGACGTGATAAACTTAAGTCCTTTGATTTCAGTGGGTCTGCTCTGAGTTTGACTTAATCAGATACAATCCAGTATTGTATGTGTGCCTGTTGCTTTTCTCTTGAGTAGGCATTGCATGCTGAGCCAGCTGTCTTTGTTTTGCAGACAAGGGCTGCTGAATGCTTTGAAGCAGTTGGCCAAGCTTGAAATTAGGGAACAAAGCGATAAAGCGATTAAACATTAGCAGCTTTTCATCTTAATTGATTGTAATAATCATTTTATTACTTGTATGTGACACCTGAGGTCTGCTATAATCCTGATTCTGAGGCAATCCCTGTTGTATTCTCTACATCAGCCTTTCTCAAGCTTGGGTCCCCAAATATTGTTGGACGGCAACTCCCATCATTCCTAGCTAGCAGAACCAGTGATGTTTGGAGTTGCAGTCCAACAATATTTGGCAACCCAAAGTTGGGAAAAGCTGTTATGTACTAAACAGGCCACATCTATGCCCAGTTCTGGGTGCTGTAATTTTAAGGAAGACATTGACAAATTGCAGCATCTCTAGAGGATGGTGACAAAGATGTTGAGGGATAAGAATTGCAATTTATTCAACCTAGAGAAGACTACAGCGAGTCGTGATGGCTGTCTTCAAATACCTGAAGGACTATCATGCAGAAGATAGAACAGTTTTGTTCTCTGTTGCACCAGAGTACTGTACCAGCAGGCTGGGGAATAGAATCCTTTAATGCCATACTTGAAATGTAACTCTTTTTTGTTAACTTGGCACAATAGGGCATTTTATTAATTAACTGTTATGGATGTGTTCATGAACTCATTACAACTGCTTCTTTTAAGTCAAGGCATCTGGTATTAATTGAAGCCATCGGCCTTTCCCTTTCCTTCTCTCTCCTTTCCATTTTGCACTTGGGGAACCAGTTCAAAAATTAGCCAATGTATCGGCAGTTCTGAAAATGGGTTGCATTCAACGTAGTACTAAATAGTGCTTTGCACAAATAAAACAGCTTCTTCTTCTCCCCCCCCCCCCCCGCAATGCCTCACCCCTAAATCTGTTCTGGATTTCCTCCCTCCCCTAATCTTCCAGAGCAGATTTGAGAGAGGATAGCCCAGGCTGGGGATGGGAGGTGGAGTGCAGATGGAGTCCCATTGCACACTCATAAGTTATTGCACACTCTTGCATTTATTTAGTTGCTTACTGCCCACTGGTTTAAAATATTTCTAGCTTATATAGTGCCCCCTTTTTTGGTTTTATTTCATTGAAAGCATGTCTATAAACATAAATGTGGGCGTGTTCAAAGGTGGGTTGCTTGGTTTAACAGCATTTTGTAGTGTGACTATGCGTACATCTAGCTCAGGAGTCGGCAACCTATGGGCCACAAGCGGCCCATGGGGGTCATTTAACCGGCCCATGGACCCCCGCCACCTGCTTGGTTGGCTCCCGTGTGCAGGAGCTTCCTGCAGCCAATGGGAAGCTGCGTACGCCTCCTCTGTGCCAGAAGGAGTGCCGGAAATAGTTTTTGCACATGTGTGCGCACACTCCGGCCCACCGCGGTGTCTGCGGGACCGTGAACTGGCCCAAGCCACAAAAACTTTGCCGACCCCTGATCTAGCTGATATTATTTGCTTTGTATTCCATTGGGGGAGGGGGAAATATCATACTTAAATAACTTTTTCTTGGAATGTTTGATTAGCTGTGCTTTTAGAAGAATATAACCTAGGTATAGTTCATGAAGCATAACTTGAAAGTGTGCTCCCATTTACGTTCCATCTGCACTCTGCATTTAAAGTAGTATTACAGTCATACCTCTAGTTGCGTTAGGTTCACGTTGCATTTTTTTCTTATTACAAACGCGGCAAACCCAGAAGTGTTTACTTCCAGGTTCGCCACTATGCGCAAGAGCGATATGTGCGCTTTGTGCATGCGCAGGAGCGATCTTTCGTGTCACATGCAGAAGCGGCGCTCCACTTACAGACTTTTTGGGGTGCGAACGGCACCCCAGAACGGCTCGCATCCGTAAGTAGAGGTACCACTGTACATTATCCCTAAAGTCACAGCTTGTTGAGGGTGCTGAGAGTTCCTAGGAAACCCCCATTCCCCCTCACAGAACCACATTTCCCATAGTTCCCTGGGAGGAGGGATTGGCTGTTAAGCCCCTCTGAGAATTGCAGTTATGTGAGGGGACTCGGGGTCTCCTAGCCACTCTCAGCACCCTTAACAAACTACACATCCCAGGATTCCTTGAGGCAAGCCATGACTGTTAAAGTGCAGATGCAGCATTAGACAAAGCAAAGCTGAGGAGTTTAGCAAGTTGACTTATGCTAGACTTATTTGTCCATCTGGCCCAATATCAACTATTTTGACTGGTAACAGCCCTCCATGATTTCACTCTGGTAATGGATCCTTTAAACTGAACCTGCCAGGGATTGAACCTGGGATTTTCTGTATGTAAATTATCCATAGGCCTTCACCTTAGCAAATGGCGACACAGCCTCTCTGCTTATCCCTCAGCTCCCTGTCAGTGTCCCAGCTCTTCTATTACTTTCCTGATTTCTCTGCTTTCTCTCTCTGGAACACTCTGTTTTCTTCAGGAGAGACTGAGTATCACCAATGAATTTTAGCTCTTTAATATCCTTGCTACAGTTTTACCTGTTGGTTCCAGTTTAAGCTGTTGTGTTCATATGGACACAAATGTGAGTTTTGCATTAAGTATAATAACAGGGGTCTTTTTAGAGGGACCTTATTTCTATCTATTTTAAGAAATTGGCATTTCTAATTTCATGTTTTTTAGAGTATTGAAAATCTGTGTACTTTGTTTCATAAACTATTGTCATCAGTATATTTTCCTTCTTTCTTTGCTAGCATGGAGGAGTCTATGTGAAACGAAGTGCCAAATTTAATGAAAGGAAAATGAGGAACAAGTTGCAAGCCCAGATAAAGGCTGGAACTCCAGTAAGATTATATATTTCCCGTGTGTGTGTGTGTTTGTGTGTGTGTGTTCTAACTGCCATGAGAATGAAAGTGACAAGAATGCTTGTCTCATATGTTGCCCCAGATGCATGGGTCACCTTTCTTCCCTCTGCTGAACAGATGAGTGGCTGGATTAGGATGTTTGTTTGTTTGTCTGTTGGTTGGTTGGTTTATACACCATGTGCATGCCAAAATGGCTTCCAGCATGGAGCAGTCTTAGGTTTGGCTTACACACTTCCTTTTTCTGTGAACGGATGTCTTCCACATGGTTAGTAGATAGCTACTGTACCCTCCCAGAAAACTCTTGGTGTCAGAATATAAAACCTATTTCTGCAGTATCAACTTTCTCTGAATTAGGACTGGTGGTTGTTGCTGTTTTTGCAAATTAAATAATGCTGCTATTGCTCAGCTAATATGAAGTTTCATATAGGCTAAAAAAGGAGGTGATTGCTGTCATAACTCCCAATAGAGTGTCATGTGGATGCTCAGTCTTACAGCTTATCTGGAACCCTGTAACCGAGTGTTCATCATACCCACCAAAGCATCAGTTTTTGCATGTTGGAATCAGGAAGAAATCAGCAGCATTCCTTCCTTCCTTCCTTGTCAGCTGAGTGTCATACAAAGGATAGCATGTTCTCTTTGCTTGCCAATACCTATAGCTGTCACACACCAAACAAGGTTTGCTAGCCAGGGCTGTTAGGTTAATTTGTTCTAGTTGAGAAGGCAGCTTGTATTTCTTGGCCTTTGTATTATTTAAAGTTGCAGTACATTCAGTTGCAGCTGGTTAGGGATCTCTGGACAGGATATAAAGAGAGAGAGATTTGCTCACTAAACTGTGTTGGTTTACTTTCTCCGACTTGAACCATTTAGATATGTTCTTACACACAATTTTTGTTGCTTCTGCTGCTTATGTTCCTCTGTTAATTTTTCCTTGAAAATTCGGATTCCTTGAATATCAAGATTGCTCATCTTAACTGAAAATGACTGTTATTGCGTATCTTTACATGTCCTCTGTGTTTTATTCAACCCTCTTGTCCCCTCCCTATTGAGCACACACATACTGTACACACATACTGTAGCCTAGAGATCATGTTGTGATGCTTCCTTTTTAAAAAAATTGTGCATATAAATGTTTTTTAATTCCACAGATGTATCTTGTGATTTTTCCAGAGGGAACACGGTACAACCCAGAACTACCAAAAACCATTGCAGATAGTCAATCATATGCTGATAAGGCAGGTAAGGTGAACTTCAAAGAATTTTGGGAAGCAGGGAACTTCGAACAGATAACATTCACTGTTGCGTAGACACAGCCCTACGGTTTAAGGATAACCAAGGAGAAAGGGACATTAGTTGAAAAAGAGTGAGGCTTGACCATAGGTGGGTGCTGAATATACACATAAAAGTGTGTGGTCTTAGTGTTTGTTCCTTTTCATTGGTACTGCAGGTAGCACTAATGTTTAAAGTATAGTCAAACAAGGAAACTTCACAAGGGGTATGTCCTTTGAGAGATTCATTGCAAGCAAACTGTGCTTGCTTGCAATAAATATTGTGCCCACGCGATTCCTCTGGCATGAGCTTTGCAGAGTACGCAATGTCATTGGAAGCCGATTGAAGTCTGAACGCTGTCTGTCCTTTTGGACAATGAAGGAAAGAACACCTTGAAAGCTACAACTGGTGTTTATTGTAGTCAACAGTAATAAACACATAGATTACTATATACAGTGGTACCTCTGGTTACGTACAGTGGTGCCTCGCAAGACGAAATTAATCCGTTCCGCGAGTCTCTTCGTCTTGCGGTTTTTTCGTCTTGCGAAGCACGGCTCTTAGCGGCTCTTAGCGGGTCTTAGTGGCTTAGCGGCTATTAACAGCTTAGCGGCTTTAAAAAAAGGAAACAAACTCGCAAGAACTCGCAAGACATTTCAACTTGCGAAGCAAGTCCATAGGGAAATTCGTCTTGTGGAACGACTCAAAAAACGGAAAACTCTTTCGTCTAGCGAGTTTTTCGTCTTGCGAGGCATTCGTCTTGCGGGGCACCACTGTACTTAATTCGTTCCGGAGGTCCGTTCTTAACCTGAAACTTTTCTTAACCTGAAGCACCACTTTAGCTAATGGGGTCTCCTGCTGCTGCCGCACCAGAGCATGATTTCTGTTCTCATCCTGAAGCAAAGTTCTTAACCTGAGGTACTATTTCTGGGTTAGCGGAGTATGTAACCTGAAGCGTATGTAACCTGACGTACCACTGTACAGATACAGAGTATTAACAGCATGTACACTCTCTCAGCAAACTGCCATTAACCAATCCCTCACACTATAACCACCACAGACAGAGAGACTCTCTCAGAACGCAGGCATATACATATAGCTGCTCTGTTACAGTATAACACTGATTGGCTGAGCGCTCTGCCAAGAATATCTCACATGTCCGTGTGCACACATATATATTTGAGTCAGTATTTTAAAAATGACAACTAATCCAAAGGACAGGATTCACCTAACAGGACCTTCCAGCAGAAGCCCTGTGCAAGGACTTCCCCTTGTGGAACAGGGCTTCCCCCGCTGCACCCCCTGAAATTTGCTCATGAGGAGACTTTTTCCACCTCGCAAGCTAAAGTTCTTACACAGATGAAACATTTATCATAGCGCAACATTGAATTACACCCAAAGAACTTAGAGTAAGCATTTTAAAATGCAATTTGCCAGGCATTTTTGGGTGACCATGCTCCTTTTTTAGAAGCTTTAATACACTGAATATTTCCACGCTTCTGAATATTGTTAACAGTTTTCAATGCTTTCGTTGAGATTCCTGCATTGCAAAGGGTTAGAATCCCTTCCAGTTCTGCAACTCTGTGATATATTAATATTATTATTTGCTGCGCTTAATTAGTCACTTACTTAATGAAAAGTAAACTCAGATGAATATAAACTGGACCAGGCTTTCCTGTAACAAATTCATGCACTTTGGTAGTTCAGAAAACAAGGTTCAACTTTCCAGGCAACAAACCTGCTACTTGACGTCTTTGTACTCTGAGTACATAAAGGTTTAGCTGCAAGTTCTGATAACCATGTATCGGTTTCAAGAATCACCATCTAGTTGGCAAGGCAAGAGGCCAGGCTCTCTTATCTTTTTAATTTTTCTGCAGTTGTAACATTCAGCCTAACAGTACAAGCTTTGTACTACAGAGCTTCATTTCTCTTCACTTAGAATATATTTTCAAGTGGAAAGAAATTGGAGCAACAGTGCCTGGTTATCGGACTTCCTTTCCTAGTCTAAACACAATAAAGCATTCAGAAACTTTTAATTGCTACAGAATTACTGCTGCTAGCGTTTTGGCTGGGTTTAGGCTTTGAGAACATACTAAACCATTTTTTTGTCCTGCATTGAATGCTAATTGGCTTCCGGACTCAAATCAAGGTGCTAATTTGACTTTTTAAAGCCAACTGCATTGCGACTGGATACCTTGGGTGTCTCATTTTTCTGCTTTGTTTCGTCTTGAACACACTGTTCAGGATCTGAGTTCTTGCCGCAGGTTCCACTAGCCTTGTTTTAATGATATGTACTACGTTAATGACTGGCACTTGTTTGAATTTGTTCTCTTCTTATGTTTTACTATTACGTGTTCTTATGTGAGCCACCTTGAATCCACCTTGTGGGAAAGAACCATTTTTAATACATAGGCAAATCTGGTGGTTCACAAGGCTACATCACAGACGAAATAACATTAGGAATAAATATGAATATCAAGGTAAAACTTATTCAAACAGAAGCAAATAAACAACAGAATGTTTTGAGAGCCTCCATTTAGAACACCAAAAATTAAATGCTTAGTTCTCAACAACATGTTTGGTAATCTTGCCAGTTATTATGAAGGCACAGAGCTCTGTTAAAATTCACAGACAGCTTTCTGGGTCATGTGGTCAGCATGACTAAACCGCTTCTGGCGCAATGGGACACGGTGACAGAAACCATAGCACACGGAAATGCCGTTTACCTTCCTGCAACAGCAGTACCTATTTATCTACTTTCACTGGTGTGCTTTCGAACTGCTAGGTTGGCAGGAGCTGGGACAAAGCAACGGGAGCTCACCCCGTCGCGGGGATTCGAACCGCCGACCTTCCGATCGGCAAGCCCAAGAAGCTCAGTGGTTTAGGCCACAGCACCACTCGCGTCCCTTACAAGTATTATTTAGCAACATGGCAAGAGTCAGTATTTAGGCTTGGGGGGGGTGATATCTACTTGTTTCCACCCACCAAGCACCCTTCAGAGCAGACATGGGGGTTGCAGGGGCAGGAGAGGAAAGGGAATTCCTGTCAAACAATTGGACATGGGTTCCTAAAATAATAAGCAGATGTTCATGGTAGTCAGTGCTTACTGCCAAATCAGGCTTGTAATTTGACTAGCACTTTGTGACGCATGTCCAGAACAGCAGTCCCATTCTTGCATCATACATCTGGAAGGCCACAAGGGATTCAGATATGTATGTGCTAAAGTTGCAAACCTGTTCTTTGCAAGTGAGGTACATATTTTTCCTTGGTTATGCTGACCATTCACCTTCCTAGCCATTTTCACGTGTGGTTTTTTGTGTTATTTTGTGGATGTTTTATCGAAAGCTTGGGGCAATATTAGCCGAACTGAATGCTTGGTAATAAAAACAATTGCTGTCATAACACTGCGTCCGGCACACATGGGCTGGAACAACATCTCAGCAACACAAACACCGTGGCACTTTTGATACAAAATTCACATGCTAAAAAGCTGTGTTAGGTTTCAAAATATTTGCATAGTCTTGTATTGAATAAGTAAACATTTCTGGAATGGCTGCGATGGACCTGACATCAGTGTTGTCCTTGGTTGTAACAAGTGTTGAAGGAATACAGTTTGGTGGAAGCAGTAAAAAGAGAAAAAGAGAAATATTGTTTGCAGGAAAGTTGGTTAAGAGATGCCGCACATTCCTGTTGGTGTAGAAAATGAACTGTCTTTTAACTACTCTGTAAATGGAGGATTTGAAGGCAACCCTCTTTTATTCCAGTTGCTTTGTATGTAGTAGAATCATTGGAGCACTGAGCTGTAACCTAATATATCATGCTCACAGTCATGTTGTCAGATTATTATTTTTTACACAAAATAAGGGCAAGACTGAGACCTCCCTATTATTTTAATATTGATTTTGGATGGTGGCATTTTGTTAACAGCAGGATACTGGAATTCCAGTTAATGTTTCCAAAAATAAAATCAGGCTGTCTCTTCTTTAACTAAGGAACTTTTGTCTTGCTTTAGTTCACATTTTTAATTATTTCGTTTTCCTCTTGTTGAACAGGTTTTATTCCTCTCAGTTGCATTATGTTGTTTTATGTTTCAATGTTGTGCTATAGTTCTAAACATGTTATGTATTCTGCCATGAACTCCATTTTCCGATGAAGATGGCACCTCATAATTTTTTAAAGGAACGTGATTGTGAGATTCATTGTAAGATCCTTTTGTACAAGGACTTGCAACTTACCAAAAGTAAATCTCTTTATTATAAATGCATAATAGGAATTTAGAGCTTTGTGTATTTCCGCTGCATATTAATATGGTTTAAATAATCTGAGAGTAACATATGAACCATAGTTTTGCTTGGAAGCAAAACTTAACAAAATAGGGCAAAATCTTTGAGGGCATGTAACTTAATTTAGGATGAAATGAGCCAACTGATATATCAGTAAAGCCCACCCAACTATCAGGACTCATCTGGGTTTCTCCTTGAGCTACTCAATTGAACCTGGTTACGGAAAACGGATGGAAGCAGTTGAATAGCCAATGTCCACAGCAGCTCTCTTTGGACGTGAAAGTAGTTATGGGTAAGGATTAGGGCAAACCTTGACATTAGGAAGCCCTAACTTGCAGGCTACAATTTCTCTAGTGTTCCCCATAGGCTGAAAGTTTATAAAAGGCAGACTTCAAATACTGGCCTCTTAAGACTTGAGGAATACATGAACATATTGTGCAAGCTGGGAATACTGTTGTTTTCCCATGGCTTTCCAGTGGGGGAAAATATTAAGGTCATCGTTTCTATCTATGCAGTACGGTGTACCATGGATATGTGTGATTGACAGTCTTTGATATTCTTTCACCTAGAATTCAATTTGCTTAAGATGCTTGCTCTTGAAATTTGATCTAAGCAGTGGCTTTCGTTTTGTTTTTCTATGCGGGTTCTTTTGGTGCTTAGCTAGCGATCCTTGATGAGATCAGTGGTGGCAGACGGGCTTCAATGAAACAATGACTTGTTTGCCACAACCAATGTTTCCACCTTTGGTATGCAGAACAGTGTTGGATACATTTGTGTGTGGAATAAGTAAGACGCTGTGCGTCTTAGGATGCTGTTGCTGAGGCCCAGCAGGCCTGGCCGCACCCTCCATGAACTCTGTGTCTAACCTAGAACATGTCCCAGAATCCTCTGCAGTGCCCAGCAATTCTGTGGCAAATTGTGTTAGGGTTCCCGGGCAAACAGTTCCTTGAAGTAGAAAGTTTTCAATACACTGGCCTTGTTCACGCATAACTTGAATCCAAGCCATGATTTAGTGTGAACGAGCAACTTCCAAGAAAGAGATTGTGGTTACTTTGCCCCCCTTTTGGCCTGTCCCTGTTTGCTGCTCCTTTTGTCTTAAAATATTGTCTGGATCTGAACTTGTGGTTGAGCTCTCTGAAACCAAATATGAGTTCCAAACTGTAGGGCAAATCTTGGTTACAGCTTGTGGTTTGTCTTGGGAGGGCTAAACCATGAGCCCAGCTTCAGACGATGCAGTAAGCCAAACCATGTCATGTCCTAGAGCAGGGATGGCCAACAGTTCGATCGCGATCTACTGGTAGATCCCCGGGAGGTTTTGGTACATCGCGGTCGATCGCTGGTTCCCTTTCCTCAGTGGTGGTAAAATAGAATCGGGCCCCACCCCCTCACCCCATCCTCCATTGTTGCACGATCTCCAGAACGGAAGACAGAGCTTTTGCAATGATGCTGATTGTTTCCTTAGTGATCTTTTGGTGAGCAACTTTCCTCCTAAGAAAGCTCAGCAACCTTTCCCTGAATCCCTAAAAAAACAGAACTTTATTCCCTAAAAAAAGCTCAGCAACACTTTGACCTGAACCCCTCCCCAAAAGGGGTAGATCACTGCCAGTTTTTTATTTTGTGAGTAGATCGCTGTCTCTTAGGAGTTGGCCATCCCTGTCCTAGAGCACAATGACTGGAAGAAGAGCAAAGCTGCTGCAAAATTGGCTTTGGGTGCCCACATGATTTGGCTTAATGTTACGTGCGGACTGGACCCCTAATTTAATGTGACCTGCAGACTAGAGACAAACAGGAGTTAATATGTCACACTATCATCATACTCTGGAGGCTTCAGTTCTCCAGGAGAAAAAGCCACTTTTAATACATTTTCAGTATACTTTTTCTCTTGCTTAGGACTTGCTGTATTAAAACATGTACTGACACCACGGGTGAAGGCTACTCATGTTGCAATTGATTCGATGAGAACCTACTTAGATGCAGTTTATGACATTACGGTAGCATATGAAGGTACTGTGGACCAGAAAGGACAAAGGAAAGTGGCTCCATCCATGACAGGTGAGTTGGTGATGTTGAATTAATTTAAGCAAGAATGGGGAGTCTGTTTTGGACAGCGGGTTGGACCGAATTGTGGCCAACCCTCCACAAGCCATATTTGACAGGTGGGCGGGGCCTAGTATACAGGGATGTGAACAAAGCACTTGTGGAAGGTTTGGGCCAATGATGTATCTCAACTCTTGCCCATTATAGTTTTTAAAAACCAGCCAGAAGAGGTTGATTGGGTTGGTCTAGAAGTTAAATGCTTCTGTGCCAGCTGCCTTAAAGGAGGCGGTGGTGTAAGCCCTCAAGAGGACAGTCCTGAGGTTTGTGACAACTACTGCCCAGTTGCTAATATCCCCTTCTTGGGCAAGCAAACTTGAGATGGTTGTGACTGTTCACCTTCATTCAGTGCTTGGGGGAAAACTGATTACCAGGTGTCTGAATCATCTTCATGAGAGGTTTTTTTAGCAGAGACTGGGTAGCAACAGATTTCCTGCAATCAGCAAGTGTGTGGCCTCTGAGGTTCTCTGACCAGGTATTTTAAGTTCATGTAGGCTTTTCTGCTCATAATTTTTAGCTGTCTCAAAATGGGTTTTATGAAGATTTTGACTTAATCTTTTGTTGTGATTATTCTCATCCATGGGGATGAAGGACGGTCCAAAATATTTTTTAATATACTTCTTGTTCAGGAGACTGGTGGGAAGTCACACGCTCTCCCTGTTCTGATGTTAATTTTGGTACTTAATGTCCATCCCATTATTCCTGACTAGAAAGTAATGTCGGGTCCATTTACCTCAGACCTGGGGGACTTTGGCCCTCCAGGTCTTGTTGAATTGCAGCTCCCATTAGCAAACATGGCCGGTGGTTGTTCAAGAACCTTTGAAGGGCCAGCGTTTCCCCACATCTGATTTATCTGAACCTTACCCCCTTTTTCATTGTGGGTGATCGTGGGGTGATTCGCAGCATCTTTCAATGTGGCAGTGATAGCCAGGGTGACTGCAGCATCTACCCTAACCTTGGGAGATTAAACCCTCTTTAAAGGATTGTGGATATCTGTCCCTATCTCCTGGGTCACTTCTCTGTCTCAAAATACTAAAAACTTTGAAATCATCCCTCTCTCCTATTGCACTCTGCCTTTGGCATACTTGCAAGATCTGACTAGTGCTCATTAATTTTGGAAAACAGCCCTTCAATCACTGTTTTGGATTAAAACCTACATGTCAACTCCTGGCCTGTGATGAAATCGGGTGCAGGGGCAACCAATATATTTAAGAATCTCACCTCTTTTGTCAAAACAAACGGGGGACGTAAGTGATTTTGTGTGTACTCCTAGGCGGGATTTTTCCTGTTTCAAAAAACGTAATGCATTTAAGCTAGTTTATATTTTAGTATTAGTCTTTTAATGTATTACACAAAACATAAACCCATTTGACAAGACTCAAACTACTACTTGTCTCTGAGCCTGTAACCTTTTGGATCGTTTTGTACTTTGCTTTCTTTTTATCCTTCTTTGGAGATAATGGGTGAAGAACACTGTGTCACATTACGATTCATTCCCATTCCTCAGTACCAGTAGTAGAAACATTGTAGTGCTAATGGTTTTGGTGTTCTTGCCATTTAATCTATCTGAAATTATCTTAGTTTTTCCTCCCGTTTCTCATGATTATGGTACTTCTGCAAGCAAACACAGATGCTCATTGATGTTTAGTTTCTACTCCTTTTATTTCCTATGACTGAAAGCCATCCTAGAAATAGTTCCTTTCAAGTTGGTTGCGCTTTTGTTCCCATGAGAATTTGCCTAACACATTCTAATCAGTTTCTGATTCACAGCAAGAAAGTTGTCCCTAATCAAAAGCTTGAGGGGTAATGTATGATTCTTAATTATGTTGCTTCTTGCGGAGGGAGCATTTTGCTTTATTCGTCCTTCCAAGAATAGCCTTTTGGCAACTTTGGAAGAATTAAGCAACCCATCAAATGCTGGCATTTCAAGCCAATATTCCTGAAGTTGGATGTAATTTGTACTTAATGAATTGTTGCAATGGGGTTTGGTTTTTTTAGCTTAATTACATAAGCCTTTGGGGAGTTGAGCCGATGTGAAATTAAGGGTCATGGGACTACGCAACCTTTAGTGGCTCTTATGATAGAATCCAGCTGTTCCTCCGCAAAAACAGGAATGCCATAAATTGTTCTTATCCACTGGTAAGCCAAAGTAGTTACAGTGACATTGTGTCTTTTGAAAAAAAATGAATTAGTCTTGCTAAGATGAACTGCGTACAATTAAAATAGTTCCTTGGTCAACTGGATATAATCAAGAGTTTCGTTCTCGCAACTGCATTGACTATTCATTTTTTTAAAATTAGAATGGTATTAAGGCTAAGGGTAACATAGTATGCAGAAGTGAGAGTGGCAGTTTCTCCCACAGTGGTTTCCACACTTTGGACGAAAAGCTGGAGGACTGCCATGAGACAGTTTTGATTTTATGCTGCGCCTTCCTTTTTGCTTTATCCCATGAGTACAGCACTGACACGGTTGAAACGGCGACCCAAGGTATAATGCATTTCAAGGATTTGCAGGGCAAATTGGCACTTGGATGGCGAAGAGCTAAATGAGATTGCTTTGCATTGCTTGCACCTGCCCAGGACCCTAAAATAACCTCAGCTAGGGCAAAGGCAACATGCAACTCTTGTAATGATAGATGCTCCTGACCTACCAGTGTGTGGCAGAAGTATGGAGAGGCACATACCTCAAATACTCGTGTGAGTTAAAAGGGAAGGAGTGCAGAAGTCCCCAGTGTCCACTTTTCTTCCATGTTACATTCTAAATAAAATCAGAAGGATGCAAATTATTATTTATATTGTTCCTGCAGAATGGTATTTTGTGATTAATGGACATCCAAAACACACAAACCATCAATAAAAGTAAAACTAAGGTCATGGTTTAAAATCCTTTCAGCTGTGCCTAGTGCTCTTGGTATCAGAATTCACTTAACGATACATACTACAGTTCTCGTGTTCCGTTTTCTGCATTCCTGAATTTCATTGCAACTTACAAGTCATATCTTGTTCCTGCTGGCTCTGAACTTTAACCCTGTGGAATTATTCGTGATTCTCTCCTCCCTTCCCTGCCGCCCGAAATACTACTTTATACTGTGATTCTCAAGATCAAATGGATTTAGTAGCTTTCATATGTGCACCTGAAGTTGGGTTTTTAGTTTGTGTGTGTTGATTTTCACAACTCCTATACTGAACTGTAAACCATTAGGCATCTGGTTGGCCACTGTGGGAACAAAATATTGGACTTGATGGGCCTTTGGCATGATCCAGAAGTGCTCTTCTTATGTTCCTAACAGTTTCATGTATTTGTGCAAGTTTTAGAAGGTGGTGATTTTGACTTCAATAGCCAAAGAAAGAGAGAGAATGTATGTGTCCACTTCAGTGGCACTTATGAAAGTAACACTCCTACCCTCTGTTTTTCTAGATTGGAAAAGTATTTTAAAAGGGAAAAAATGCCGTATTTTTTGCTCTGACTTTTTCCCTCCTAAAAAGTAAGGGGAAATGTGTGTGCGTCTTATGGAGCGAATGCAGGCTGCGCAGCTATCACAGAAGCCAGAACAGCAAGAAGGATTGCTGCTTTCACTACATAGTGATCCCTCTTGCTGTTCTGGCTTCTGAGATTCAGAATATTTTTTTTCTTGTTTTTCTCCTCCAAAAAACTGGGTGCGTCTTGTGATCTGGTGCGTCTTATAGAGCGAAAAATACAGTACATTTCATACATTATTTAAGATTTAAGTAGACATTAATGTCTCTGAACATGGATGGAAACAGTGGTGTTATACTCTGCCTTGTGAGAGTACTTACCTTGAAAAGCAACCTAAAAATTTTTTTTTAAATAAAAAAATAAAATAAAATGAATTGTGATCTTTTTACTCAAAGTTCCGACCTTGGAGTAATTTTCAAAAGCCTGTTTCTTTTAAAGAATGCCGAATAACACTGCACAATTACTGGACTTGGCTTTAATTTTACTGAACGACAGTGGAGTTGCTGCTGATGGGACAAGTGTATTCATGATGCTCTTTTGGGTTTTGTAGACTTCCTTTGTAAGGAGTGTCCAAGAATCCATATTTATGTTGATCGTATTGCACTCAAAGATATTCCTGAAGAACAGATGTATATGAGAAGATGGCTTCACGAACGTTTTGAAATCAAGGATAAGTAAGTAAATACAGTGATGTGACACTGCTTCTGGAGCAGCATTAATACGGCTTGAAAGTTCCACAAAACTCAACAAAATCTTAACTGGTTATTGCATACCATCAGTGAAGGGTTGGATCCAGATTTTGCCTTCCATGGTTGAAAAGGCACCTTCTGGAAAAGCTTCTGATCCAGCAAAGGGGTGCTGCTGGTGGAGAAGGTAGAGACCTCTTTTGCCTGTTCATCTAGCACCCCCTATTACGCTCTTCTGAAAGGTTGGAGAACCTTCCGGAACAAGAAAGAGGTGGTGCTCTATGCTACGGGAGGAGTAGAGAAAGTAGACTTTGCTTTCGTTCAGGGGGTATTTCTACTGGTGGGAACAAAGTTTGGATCCAATCTAAAATGTTTCCCACAGACCTTTTGCTTATATTTTATAAATGTGTGGATGCCCACGAGTTAATATAGCCAATGTGGACAAGGAGTTGGATTTGGATATGGGAAGCAGAGCTTCAAATCTTGGTTCCTATAGTAAGCTTCTTAGTGGCTATGAGTCTGCTCACCTTCTCTCAAGTTAAATTTACTTCCATGGGTGTTTCGGAGTATAAAATTCTCAAGCACCAAAAACTACAAAGCACAATGTTTTTAGAGCATACATTTTAGGATAGAGATAAACTGTTGAATTGGGACGCAGGTGGCACTGTGGGTTAAACCACAGAGCCTAGGGCTTGCCGATCAGAAGGTCGGCGGTTTGAATCCCCGCGACAGCGTGAGCTCCCGTTGCTCGGTCCCTGCTCCTGCCAACCTAGCAGTTTGAAAGCACGTCAAAGTGCAAGTAGATAAATAGGTACCGCTCCGGCAGGAAGGTAAACGGCGTTTCCGTGCGCTGCTCTGGTTCACCAGAAGCGGCTTAGTCATGCTAGCCACATGACCTGGAAGCTGTACGCCGGCTCCCTCGGCCAGTAAAGCGAGATGATCGCCGCAACCCCAGAGCTGGCCACGACTGGACCTAATGGTCAGGGGTCCCTTTACCTTTACCTAAACTGATAAATAGTGAATTATCTTTGCTTGCTATTCCAGGCTGGATTTACATGACCATTTGCTACATAGCCTACCTGGGCAAAGCCAGGCTGTTCTCCTCACTTGAGTCTATTTTGCCCACTTGGGAGGAAAAAAGTGTCCAATTCACATAATGAAGTTTGCCAGTCCAACAGCTGCCTCTGCCCAATACTATTTGCACATGATAACGTGTGTGACATTTGTGTTCATCACCAAACTGTGATAAGCCTGTTACCTTTTTTTTTATCCTTTCTTTGCTCCTAGGTTGCTAATAGAATTTTATGATGCAAAAGATTCTAAAAGAAGGAACAAGTTCCCTGGGAAATGTGTCCGTTCCAAACTCAGTCTCAAGAAAACTTTGCCATCTTTGCTGTTTTTAAGTGGGCTGACTGTTAGTATGCTGCTGACAGAATCTGGACGGAAACTCTACGTGAAAACATGGCTCTATGGAACTTTGATTGGCTGTCTGTGGGTCAGCGTTAAAGCGTAGGTTCTGCACCTACAACCAGTGACGTTATTCTCCTGTCTTGCACATCACATCAAACTCTTTCCTGAATTTATAAAATGTAAATAAAGCCTTATTAATGGAACATTGGATGAATTGAGACTTGTGACCTAAATCTGCCATGGTCAGTGTGGAGAACATGTATACGTAATTATGCTCCTGATTTTTCCCCTCAGAAAAAGCAGCAGAGAGCCAGAATTATAATGCATTTTCCCTCTATGGGTGGATATCTATCTATCTGCACATGATTTAATAGAACATGTGATTCTAGATAAACAGCTGAAGTGGACCTCTGAATGTATTTACTGATATTACTTTAGGTTTGTATATTTATTCCTGACCCACGTTCTTTAGTTCACTATGGAAATTATCACAGCTACATCACAAACTAAAAACCAAAGCTAATATCTCCCAACACATTTGTTTTCTATTTTTTTTCCTTTTTAAATTGAGTTCCTCAAATTTACAAAGCAATTGGTAGAACATGAAAAGCTATTTTTAAAGAAAAAATATAGGTAAAAACTCTTCATGTGGAAATTACTTTAACATATGCATGATTTAATTATATAACTAGATGGCTTAGTTTTTGTTTGCAACATGTTTAGTTTTATTCTCGAAAAGGCTTGTGTTCTTGATTTAAAACACCCTGTGTTGGTGCATAAATGATTTTATATATACAATATGTTCAATTAGTAAGTTGATAATTGAGGCTGTCTTGGTTGTAACCTACCTAGATTCGCAAAGAGCATATTGGTACATTTCAGCTACACAGTTTAAGTCATAATATGTGTGCCATAAACAGCAGTGCGCATTCCAGTTTCCTGTTACCCCAGGAGCACTTCGCACAGGGTGTTTTGTCCACAAAGAAGATGATTGCTTTTATCAGGAGCAACCATATAGTGTTACTTGTGAATGTTCTGCTGTGAATACACCAGCTGGGAAACAAATGTCGGTAAAACATTGACTTGTGTGAAGTGGTCCTGAGCTACATGGAACCAAATGAATGTGCCTTGCCATGATTGATGCTGCTGTGCAGCTTGGAGTATATTTTATGGTAACAAGGAACATCAATGTGTTCTTGCCAAAATGTAGACTATGTGCCTTTTTAATCTACTGATCTTAAATTTAACCTAATATTTCACAGCCTGATCATTTAACACTGTAATTTTGGGGTATTTCCAAAGCTTTTCACAGTTGGCGTGCACTTGAACTTGAAGTATGCAGTTTTGCACTGTAGAATAATAGTGAGAGATGCATATTCTATTAGTATTTAATCCACTCACCAATGTATTTTGTAAGAACCAGTGGTTCTTGTTGCTATTTGGTGATATATTGGGAAAATATTTCCTGTTGTCATGGGGCTAATTATTCTGTATCAACTAAGGGAAGGGATTCTATTTCGTATCTATTATTTTGTAAAAACAAAAAATCAAGATTCCACTATCAAAATGGAAAAAGATTAGAGGCTATTTTTATCTTTCTGAGTTTTTTTCACAAGAAGTTTCTGTTGGCCTTGGAATTGTTTAAGACCCAACATGAACTAAAATGCTTGCCTTAGATTTTTAAAATATTAAATGCGTTTAGCTTCAGCTATGATGAGTAAGAAACACCTTGTTCTTGTGTGTTCTCCTGGAAGTGTATAGTATACTTCATTTCAGATGTTCATCTACTTCATTATTCTGCCTTCTGGTTACTAGAGCAGACTTGCTGGTTAATGGAATAATCTATGGAAGAACAATGTGTTGGGTTTCTAGCCTCTGAGAAAGGATATGCTGTCAATCTCTGTGTCCTAAACCTGTGGAATTGCCTTCCAGTTTTACTGTAAAGCTTTTTTTGTTAATGGTTTGCCTATCAAACCTATGGGTATCGTTCAACTCTACAACTAAAACAAGCTGCTTACATTTAATGAGGCAGAACAATTCTTTGGAAGTTGAACAGAAACATTTTAACTGTTCACAGATTCCAGATTATCTGGGACACAAATCATCTCCTTCGCGAAGCTTTATTTTAAACTTAATATCTTTGGCAAGTTGATGTAGCTTCCCCCATGATTTGTTTATTTAAAAATTGCTATTAATTTGAGGCATTGGCTGCTATTTCAGAACATAAGTAGATATTGACTTATAATTTTTTTAAAGCAGTGTGGCAACCTACTGCCTGTTACTATTGTTTGTTTCTGAACTTTCAGAGTTTTAATACCTTACTCTATATAGACAGGTCACCACTAACCTTTAATGTAAATTGGGTCAATGAATATATCTTTTTTGGATGTCCTGCTGTTACAGCAGTTGAGATACAAGTTTTCATCTGTTGGGTTGTAATTCTGCAAAAACAGAGAACATGCACGCCCTTCAGACTTTCACACTGAATGGCTCTTTTGACATCTGAAGAGGGCCTTTGTAAGAGAACAAAACTAAGGGCAGACAATGTGATTGTCCCTTTGCCTTGCCTGACAGGAATACTAGAACTGAATCGCCTAATTTTGATGGAGCATTTATTTGTGGCAAGGCCACATTCCACATGTAGCCATAGACATAGGGGAGTCGCTTCCTCATGGTGTGATCTCATGCTGCAGAGGTTTGTGTGAATCAAGGGACCATCAGATTGGCAACACTAACTGAGCCAGGAGCAAAGTGATTGGGTACGAAAGATGCACATAATTAGCCCCACCCCTACGGTGGATTGACCCTCATGCTTCTCTTTTTTTTTTTTTTTTTTTTTTTAATAAATTTTTATTAATTTTCCAAACATAAGATAAGAAAGCAAACAATACACAAAACACCGACATACAAACATATAAACATGTATAATTTCATAGCCATTTTTCATAAACCTTACTTTCCGGACTTCCCCATACCTCCCCTTTCTGCATCCTTGTTTTATATTTCTTCAGCAACTCCTCAATCAACTAATTATTCAATTCAATTTCTTTTAAGTTCTTCTAATATTATTAGTTACAGCTGCAGTTCTCTGTTTCCCAACCCCTTGACATTTTAACATTCCTGAATTTTACAACAAGTTCTAAGATAAACTTTAAATTTCTTCCAATCTTCTTCCACTGTCTCTTTCCCCTGGTCACGGATTCTGCCAGTCAATTCGGCCAGTCCCATATAGTCGATCACCTTCGTCTGCCATTCTTCCAGTGTGGGTAGTTGTTGTGTCTTCCAATACTTTGCTAGAAGAATCCTTGCTGCTGTTGTCGCATACATAAAAAACGTCCTGTCCTTCCTTCTCACCAATTGGCCGACAATGCCCAAGAGAAAAGCCTCTGGTTGTTTAGGGAAGGTCCATTTAAGAACCTTCTTAATTTCATTATAGATCATTTCCCAAAAAGCTTTTATCCTCGGGCAGGTCCACCAAAGGTGATAAAAAGTACCTTCAGTCTCATTACATTTCCAACATTTGTTATTGGGCAGATGATAAATTTTTGCAAGCTTGACTGGGGTCATGTACCACCTATACATCATTTTCATAATGTTTTCTCTTAAGGCATTACATGCCGTAAATTTAATACCGGTGGTCCACAACTGTTCCCAGTCAGCAAACATAATGTTATGACCGATATCTTGTGCCCATTTTATCATAGCTGATTTCACCGTTTCATCCTGTGTATTCCATTTCAACAGCAGATTATACATTCTCGACAGATTCTTAGTATTGGGTTCTAACAGTTCTGTTTCCAATTTTGACCTCTCCATCTGGAAACCTATTTTCCTGTCCTGTTTAAATGTCTCGTTTATCTGAAGGTAGTGCAACCAATCTCGCACTTTGGACTTTAATTTCTCATAGCTCTGTAATTTAACTTTTTCCCCATCTTGTTCTAGAATTTCACAATATTTTGGCCATTTAGACTCCATATTAAGTTTTTTCACCTCTTTAGCTTCCATTGGTGACAACCACCTGGGAGTTTTACTTTCCAATAGATCTTTATACCGCATCCAAACATTGTATAATGCTTTCCTAACAATATGGTTTTTGAAACCTTTATGCTGTTTTACCTTATCATACCATATATATGCATGCCAACCAAATCTATTATCAAACCCTTCTAGATCCAAAATATCTGTATTCTCAAGAAGTAGCCACTGTTTCAACCAGCAGAAAGCCGCCGATTCATAGTAGAGTCTTAAGTCCGGCAGGGCAAACCCCCCTCTATCTTTAGCATCAGTTAGATTCTTAAATTTTATTCTGGGCTTTTTGCCCTGCCAGACAAATTTAGATATATCTTTCTGCCACTTCTTGAAACAGTCCATCTTGTCCAAAATCTGCAATGTCTGAAATAAAAACAACATTCTAGGCAATACATTCATCTTGATAACAGCAATTCGGCCTAACAAAGAAAGTTTCAACCTTGACCATATTTCTAGATCCTTCTTTACCTCTGTCCAACATTTATCATAATTGTCCTTAAATAAATTCACATTCTTAGATGTTAAGTTTACCCCCAGGTACTTTACTTTTTCGTTATCACTAGTCCTGTTTCATTCTGAAACTTCTCTTTTCGGCCAATGTTAAATTTTTATCCAACACTTTCGTTTTCTGTTTGTTCAGTTTAAATCCTGCTACTTGACCAAATATCTCAATTAGTTCTAATACTCTTTTAGTACTAGTATCTGGCTGTTGCAAGGTCAATACTAGGTCATCTGCAAATGCCCTTAACTTGTACTGTTTGGCTCCGACTTGTACTCCTTTAACCAACTGGTCTCCTCTAATCATATTTAACAAAACCTCCAGGACTAATATAAACAATAGAGGGGATATTGGGCACCCCTGTCGTGTACCTTTTTCTATAGGTATTTCTTCCGTTACCACATTGTTTACAATTAACTTTGCTTTTTGTTTAGAGTATATTGCACCTATACCATTTTCAAACCCTTGACCTACCCCCATCCCTTGGAGATTCTTCTTCATAAAACTCCAACCAATATTGTCAAAGGCTTTCTCCGCGTCCACAAAAATTAAAACAGCCTTCCTATTAATGTCCACTTCTAACAGTTCCAAAATGTCTATAATGTTCCTCACATTGTCCGACATATATCTCCCTGGAAGAAAGCCAGTTTGGTCTTTATGAATCTCCCCTACCAACACTCTCTTCAGTCTTTTTGCCATAATGTCCGCAAAAATTTTGTAATCCACATTAAGTAATGATATAGGGCGGTAGTTTTTAACCTGGTTCTTTTCAGTCTCAGTTTTCGGTATAAGTGAGATAAAAGCTTCTTTCCACGACTCTGGTGCCTTTTTCCCCTCCAAAATTTCGTTACATACTTCCTTCAGTGGTTGTACTAACCATTCCTTCAACACTTTATAGTATCTGGCGGTCAAACCATCTGGTCCTGGAGCTTTTCCCAATTGCATCTTCTGAATGGCACCCTCTATTTCTTGTCCTGTTATTTTCTCATTCAAAATCCTTCTGCTTTGCTCTGAAATTTTTGGTAATCCATGTTTCTTAACAAATTCTTCTATTTCCTGTTCATTAACTGGCCCTTGTGCATATAATTTCCTGAAATAACCTTGAAAACAATTACTTATCTCATTTGGTTTGTGGATAATCTTTCCGTCCACTTCTAAACTTGTCACAGTGTTCAATTTTTGCCTCTTTTTCAATTGCCATGACAGAAATTTCCCACATTTATCTGCTGATTCAAATGTCTTTTGTCTCATTTGCTTTATTTTCCATTCTATCTCTTGATTCATCAATTCCATATATTGCACCTGATAGTACTTTATTTCTTTCAGAATCTCATGAGACTTTGGTTTAGACCTCAATTTCTTTTCACCTTCTTTTATTTTTTCCAGAATTTTTCCTTTCCTTTCATTTTGATTTTTCCTTTTTATGGAGTTCTGTTGTATTAGGAAACCTCGCATCACGGCCTTACTTGCGTCCCAAATTATTCTTTTTTCCACTTCTGTTCTCAAATTTATCTCAAAATAATCTTTCACTGTTTTTTGGGCCTTCTTATAAATCTCTTCATCTCTGAATAGGGTGTCATTCATTCTCCATCTGAAGGATCCAGTTGTTGTAAGTTTCATCTCCATCTTTACAGCATTATGGTCGGAGCAAGTCTTTGAGCAGATTTCTACCTTTTTAATCCTTGGCGCCATACTGCTAGTTACCCAAATTTGGTCAATTCTTGTCCATGTCATTTTTGCTTCAGAGAAAAAGGTTCCCTCTCTCTCAAGAGGGTTCCTTGTTCTCCAAATGTCAATCAAGTCCATAGTTTCAGTCATTTCAAAAAAGTCTTTGGTAGTCTCCCTTCCTTGGAAATTACTTGTCTCTGTGCTTTGTCCATATTTGTGGAAACTACGCCATTCATGTCTCCCATCATTATAATTCTGTAGTCTAAATAGTCCATTAAAGTCTCATGCAGCTTCTTAAAGAATTCCGCCTTCCCATCATTTGGTGCATAGATTCCAACTATCAAAAATTTTTCTCCTTGAACTTGTATTTCAATTGCCAGGTATCTTCCTTGTTCATCTTTAAATATCATCTTTGGAGCCAATTTTTCTTTTGCATAGATCACCACGCCTCTTTTCTTAACTTTATCTGATGAAATAAATTCTTGTCCAAGTCTCTTATTTACCAATAATTTCCGATGTGTCC